GCTTTCTTTATGTTACTCGCTTATTGTTAGTCTGTCTTTCTGTCTGTTATTTGTCTGTGATTCTTTTATTATCAAATTGTAAATAATAAATTGCTTCTGTGAACCACCACAGTTATTGGTGAATAAAATAATACAATAATGACACAATAAAGTAAAAAATGTACTTGTTGAATAATTTTACGTGTAAATCGCAAACGTTTCGACTCTGAGTTTTGCGAAACATTTACGATTTACATGTAAAATTATTCAACAAGTACACCTTTTGCTTTATTGTATAATTGTTGTATTATCTCATACAATAATTACCGCGGTAACAAAGGCAATTTATTATTTACTATTTAATTAATTTTTGTAGTTAATTTTGCAATTATTTTTTTATTATGCTAGCCTTAATTTAAAAATAAAATCTAACGAAATAATTTCTTGCTGACCATTTTCCAAAAGATGAGAATTTATTCTAATAAATTTTCATCAAATATTTAATTTAACGTACGTATCAGAGCAGTTGAATATTATTATTAATATAAAAACTAGCATGTTTAAAATGAGTGACAGACAGACAATGAGAGAGAGAGAGAGAGAGAGAGGAGCGCGCGAGCGTGTCAGAACATGTTCGAACATGTTTTGATTCGTATACTCACGCAGTAATCTGCATAGCGATCACCTGATTGCTTCCACGATGAGACAGATATCCATATCGAGTAATTAACTTGAAGTTTTTCTCTTCTTTGCCTCTTACACTGTGACATTTTACATACACACACATACACACAGACTATTCACTCACTGGATCAAATTTACTACCGAATTATCGATATTAAATTAGAGATTAGTTAATCTCCACTGTCACTACTAATTTATTATTAATCACAAATCACGAATTTCGTTCGTCACACGAAAATTCGGAGACGCGTGATCATTCGACGTACAGACCACACGTGTTTACTCAACGATAGTAAATGATTTTATTGTGTGGTAACACTGTCGAATGTGAATTGATATGATTGGTTAAAGCCGCGTTCTGACTTAGAAGTCAGAACGCGGCAATTCAAAAATGAAATTATTGATAATATGATGTATTGAAAAAATTTTTAAATACAAGTTCTTTATTATTTATTAAAAATTGTATAAATAATTGTATAAAAGTAATCAATTTTTTTTATACAATTGAATTGCCGCGTTCTGACTTTTAAGGCTTTACCAATCAATTTTCTTTCATGCAATTTTGAATAAGTAATAAATAA